GGGCACCTTTTAATCATTCAGTATTTCTATTTGTATCTGAGTATTTGGTTTTGTATTTGTTTTTGAGGCTGTGTTTTGTCACCTCTGTGTACAAGCACGCAGATTTTTCTAGGCATTACAGGCAATACAGTCTAATGTTTCCAAATTTTGAACCTCAAAAAGTTAAATAGACTGTGACTGTGCAGATTACAGATACTCAGAGCAGCACAGTGAATGCTGGTCTGCATTTGTTTCCTCTCTTAACAGGTTTATTGCTTGTTATTCTATGTCCTCATATGCCACACCTGTGTATCTTTACCATCAACACCACTTTATTAACCGAATCATATCAAGGCCTAAAATCTCAGATGAATGTAGGCATCTAATTTAGGTTCTAAGCATAAAAACTTTTGTCAAAATTATGTTTACAAATGTGCTGTGGACATACACTCCTTTAGTTACTACATCAGGACCTATTTTTCCCACGTTACTGGGACTTTTAGAAGGTTATTCTTATAATTCTTCAGAGTCACACACTGCTCACATTTGCAACCTTTTGCACAATATGAATCCTGATTAATCTGTATGGAAGTCTTATGATGGAGGTAAAACACTGATGAGAAACAGACATAAAAGAACAAATGCCAAAATATTCAAAAATGTCACTTAATGTTTCACACTTTACTAGTACTGAAAGTGCTCAACACCTCACAAAATCAGACAGTAAATTTCACAGATTGCACATTCAAATACAAGAGTATAGTAGATATTTCTGGAAGGTCAGTCTTGGTGACTTATCCAAAACAGCACAGTCTGTCAGTAAAACAGAACTGAGAATAAAATTAATGCTCAGTTCACAAAGTCACACATAAGTCAAACATGAAGTTCTTTGTCTCTCTAAAGCCAGCAGAATTCCCTGTGTCATAGAAACCCCCCTTTGCCAAAAAACACAGGGAAAGAACTTATTAATTCCACTCTGTGTCTGTATAGTCCAGCTTTTCTTATCTACGTGTATCTCTCACCTTTATGAGATCACTAAAATGTCATCAATGGCCTGATGGCCTTAGACTTGGGAGAATCTCACTCAGCTGTGAATTTGGTGCAAACCTTGTATATGATCTAAATAAGCTATTTCCTTTCTTTGTCCCTTGATTCCTCATCTGAAAAATGGGCATATCTGTGTAGCAGAGAAAAGATAAAAGTGGTGAAGACTGCAAGGTGTTCAGGTAATGAGAAGAAAGATAACATTGCTGCCTTCTGTGGAGGTATAGTGATTCTTCCTATTCTGTATATTTCTTTCTCCTCTAACAATACTTGGGATATCCATGAATGTCATTCCATGCCCTTACCTATTTTATTGTTTCTTAAATTCATACTCATAGTTCAAATATTCTGTACTCCATGGAATGATAGCTCAGCGCACTCTGAGAAGCTGCTTAACATGCGTAGCTTAAACTACAGACAGAATTTAGAAATGGAAAGTGCTGTTCCATAAGGATCTTTGGCCAGTAGGATGTGGAGAAAACTTACTAGTTCCTGAAAGTGCTGTTCTAGATGCAGGTGGTTATGGTTAGATGCCCATTCCTTTTTGCTTAATACAAGCTCCACAACCATCCACCAGAAACTAATGCTCCCTCTAATATACCTGCACGTCTAGGTTTGTAACCACTTGCCAGATATGGCTGGTTTAAAGTAAAACCAAAAATAGGAAACACATTAACAAGCCCTTAGGTCAGATCAGATTCATATTGGTTTTTGGTAGGGTGTACTAGGGATTGCCTACAGGGGAAGTTGAATCAGCAGAACAGATGAGGCAGAAATCCCTGAAGCAGTAGCATGTGAGGACTACAACAGCAACTGGAAACAATCTAATTATACTCAGTTCTTGTTCCAACTCTGTCACGTAAGTTGCCCGTGTGACTGGTTTTCTGGTTGTTTTAGTTCCCACATAGTATCCCCAAAGCTTCTCTGCTGTAAAATATCACAACATGAAAAAACAGCAACACTCACACAGAACTTATCTATATCAGGCATTCACCACATCATGATACAAAATGTCAGCTACTACCTTGAAACATAATGATTCCAGTATAAACCACTATAAACCTGGAAATTTCATAAAATAGGTCATTACTGCCCAGCAATCCAGTGATAAGGACCTGTCATGGCTCACCTCAAGCAGTCCTCTAAGAAATCAAGAAAATAAAGCTTAAAACCTTACATATTGAAATAGAATTCTGTCTAATATAAAATTGAGACCATTGGATCCTCTTATTTCTCAATATAGATCTGTTATCTGGCATGTATGCTATGAAATTACAGAGTTCATAAATTAGAGAGTGAATAGATCTCATCATGTTTTGGTTTAAGTTTATTAATGAATGAAATTCTCCAGAAGTTAAGCCCCTGCATCCCTTTATCTGAATTTTCACAATAGTCTACTGGTAAGAACATAACTCACTTTCCAGAGTTGTTGGTGGAAGCTTTGTCTTCTTGGAGTCAGGAAGCTGACATGAACAACTTAATAGTTGCTGAATGATAGCTGGACTGATTTGCTTGAAGTGGTCCTTAGAAATGGAGGAAGAACTGTTTTTTAAAAATATCTTCACCAGTTCATTGGCAGAGAAACAAACCTATGCAGGAAAGTACATAGTTACTGAATATGCTGTATATAGCTGCATCTGATGCCGACGTTAAATATGAAATCTTAGAATAACAGTGTTATATGGCCTGTATTTGTAGGCTATATAACACTGTTTTATATATATAATAATATATACATATATATAATTATTATATATGTGTATATGTAATAATATATATATTCTCCCCATATACTCATTTCTGGTTATATTAGCTTAATTACTTCTAGTACATATAATTCTTTTTTTGATTTTCCAATTAAAACTTGATATTGCTATATATTCCAGAAAGACCAGAATCTTTGGGATGAAGTAGCACAATTTCTATTGAAGCCAGCCTGTTAATATCATGAGGATCTGACACAACAATATCTCTTAAAATTTTATTGTCATATGTGTTAACAAAAACCTGTTAATGCTAACACAGATCATATTCTTAGCTTTTAATGTAAGGCTGCATTAATAGCAATAATATTATGTAAGCAATAATTATGTAAGATACTGCCTGGAATTTTGCCTTGTGCTGAATGCTTAGTGAGATATGGAATTAAGCTGCTTTTTAAAATTCTTTTAACAATGGCATGTCACTTTAAGGTCAGCAAATTAGATGTTACGTAGTCTAAACTGGGTCTAAATATTACTTAATAATTGTATTATTAGAGCTACTCAAGAATTTCAGTTACTTTTTGATTGTTAGAAACATCTCTTTGCCAAAAAGAAAAGGAACTTTTCTTAGGAACATCTATACTTTGAAAAAAATTCACGAAGAATCTCCAGGATGAAACTTCTTGCAAAAAAAAAAAAGAGCAGTTAGCATTAGAACTACGATTAGTTCTAGTGCCAATTTCTGTAAGAACTTTTAAAAAGAAGTCCAGACCAAATATGCTGTTTTACTTATAGGAATAATTGTCACTTTTTAATCTCATCTGATTAGTTGTGATTCAATTGAACTAGTATCCATCTGAGAATCAAGGGATTCCTAAATATTCTTTTTCTGGTCACTGAAGCTCAGGTTTCTTTTGAAAGAAAATTACTATTTAAATAAAAAAGTTGTAATTATCATTACTTTTAAATAACCCAATTAAATCCCAACACCTTCCTGCCTTTGTTCATCCATTATTAAAGTAAAATATGCCTTGGAGCTCAACTGAATGGATTAATTACTGATACATTTGTTGTGAATGTCACATTGAAGTCTTCAGGATAACAGCTGATCTTGCCACGTGGATCTAGTCTTTTCTGCCTCCAAGCAAAAGGAAAGCATGAAGACAATTTAGGAGATACCATATTGGAAAAGACCTCCTGTTTGCCTATTCTAGGCAGTGGCTGCCTAAAAGTAGGGAACACCAACAAATGGTATCAAGTCGGAAGCCTAGCTCATGGCTGGTTATGAGCAGCATCTCTCACTCTGTACAGGGACTGATATTATTTAATGCCTTCACCAATGATCTGAGTCATGGAACAGAGTCTACCATATCCCATTCACAGATGAAATCCAACTGGGACACAAGTCAATATGCTGATGGGCATGGCTGCTATTTAGAGGGACCTTGACAAGCCAAAGAAATGGGCTGACAAGACCTTCATGAAGATCAGCAAATTTATTGTGCTTCCAACAGAATAACCAATGCACCAATAAAGGCTGTGAAAAACTGGAAGGTAGCTTTACAGAAAAAGCCCTTGGGGTCTCGACAGACAATTGGACATGAGTCACCAGTGTGCCCTTGTGGTAGTGAAGGCTAACTGCATACTGGGCTGCGTTAGCAAGAGTGTAGCCAATAGGCAAAGGAAAAAAGATTATTGCTCTCCACTCAGGACATAACGAGTCCACATCCGGACTATGTCCACTTTAATAACCAGCAGTATAAAAAAGACATTGGCAAACTGGGGGAAGTCCAATGGAAGGCCACCAGGATGGTTAGGGAACTGCAGCACATGATGTGCAGGGGAGAGGCTGAGGGAGCTGGGTTTATTCAATTTGACGAAGAGAAGGGTTGTGGAGTATCTTAAGTCTTCAACTGTCTAATAGTGTTATAGGGAAAATAGAGCCAGAGTCTTCTCTGAAGTGTACAGCAAAAGGATCAGAGGCAATAGTTATTAGTTGCAGAAGGGAAAACTCTACTTTGCAATAATAATAATTTAAACAAAACAAAACAAAAGTCAAAATGAGGGTAATAAAGCAGTGGTACAGTTTTCCCAGAAAAACTGTGGAATCTCCCTGTGCGGAGACATTTAAACTCAATCTGACTTTGATGTTGGCCCTGTCTTGATAAGTTGGGTAGACAAGATGAGGTCCAGGATTACTGCAAACCAAAATTTTAATGTGATTTTATTATCAGGAATTTTAAATGAAAAAGCAAGATCTCATCTGGAAAATAAACTGTCCAACTGCACAGAAACAGAAAAAAATTAAATCTTATTTAGTAAAACATTCTTTTAAGACTTGAGGAATGAGGACCTGCATCTTTTCCAGTTGCAAGCTCTAGCTTTTTATCAAAGAGAGGCAGAGTACTCAGTCTCCATCAGTAAAGCAACTATGTGTGCAGTCCTGAAGGATGATACTAAAGAAAAAAGTGAATCAAATTTGCATGTTCTCATACAAAAAACTGGTTGGATGGATGGATGATTTTTGTTCCAAAATTGATGTTTCATTAATGAGATATAATAAATGAATACATAGATCTTGTTACACAATTAAAAGGAACTTAATATTACTGCTCTTATTCATCTGTTACTTCTTTTATATGCATTTTTTAGAACAGTAGTAACAATAATGACTTAAAAAGAAAGTGACTTTTTCAGTGATAGTATTTCAAATATAATTCCTAAATGAAAAGCAAATTTCAGATATTCAGGTAGTTAGCAAACACAAGCCATAAACAAGTCAATGCCTCATACGCAGCAGCATCTGTTATGAATGGAGCACTATGGCTGTCATAGATACATGCAGAAAGCAGGATACAAAATTAGCAACACAAGAGTGAAATGCAAAGCTTTCTGATGGAATGATGCATCAAAGAAAACAGAGATAGCTTGAAAGAATCAGAATGGAATAAAACAAAGAAAGTAGGAATTAATACAGAAGAGAAATTATCTTCTCTCCAGTTGTTTCTTTGTGATTTTTTCATCTCTACAGAATATTTGTCTCTCAGTTTGACTCCCAAGCTTCATATAACTCCCCTGCACACTTATCGTTTGAATTACAGACAGTCTCAGAAGTTCAAGAAATCAAAACCTGTCTTTTATGAGTTTTTCTATTGCTGGAGAACAATTTTACTTCTTGAACAGATAGCATCACTGCTGATTACCATCCTTCATATTTGAAAATTAATATGAAACACCTTTAAAATGACCTTTATTTAAAATTATTTTGAGACACCACTAAATGCCTCATCATGCTGATCAGCATGATTTTCTTTTGTTGCCAGCCGGAAAGAAATAAACATATTGATAAAGTATGTATTCCAAATGCAATAAGATTACACAGATAAATATATATCAGAATGGCATTTACCCAGATGCTGTTTGTCTCAGTTCCACATCATAAAACAACCACACAGCCCAAGTAAATTGCACATTTCTTATTCTCCTGAATTGAGAAGAAACAGTGTCTTTGAGATAAATTGTAAAGAACTGGAAACAATAGAAACATATTGTTTGAAGTACATTACTTCAAAAGTTTACATCAAAATATATACAAAGTATATACTTTGAAATCTCCTTTATTCGTCAAGGAGTTATTTCCAGTCTAAAGGATGCCATCTTAATCATTGTTATAAACAAAATTTATTTCCAAATATTTAAGATATGGATAAAATCACTTGCAATGAGCCACTGTCCTCCAAACCCCTCAAAGAGGATACTGGGTAGTAGCTAAATTTCTGTCTTACAGACTCTACACTTTCTAAAGAAGCTTCTGAACTATGGCTATTAAAAGCCCAATCTTCAGTCTACAGAAGCCTTTCAGAAACAGCTTATGCAAAAACCTTAATTTACTTCCTTTTTTCTCACTACAAAACAACCCTTCTTTCTACAAGTGCACAAGGGGCCCTAGAAACTCTGTAACTTAAGAGCAAAAGAAATCTGACAAATGTGTGGAAGCATTGAAGCCATGGTACTACAGTCCTCTGTGTTTTGAAGAAACACCTGATTCTGTGTAACACTAACCATTCCATTAGACTCTCCCAGCTACTTTAATCACACGTTCAACATCCATGAAGTTCTTACCCCAATTAATACTTAAACAAATATAACTATATAAAAATAAATTTTAATCATTGACAACTTGACTTTTTGAAACTAGTAAATTTTACTTCAGAAATAATGTAGTGTTTCCAAACCAATTTGAACTTTTATCACTGAAATTCTGTGACCAATACTATAATAACAAAAAAATAAATTAACCTGGTCCCAATCTGTTTTCCTTTCACGATCTTCAGAATAACCTTTCAGATACTCTCCTTTCGTATGGTTTCCTTTGACTGGAATATTTCTGACTGCAGTATCTCTGATTGCCATACTATAATGTCTTCTTTTGTGACTGTGGAATTGTCCATTTACAGTGCAGGTCTTCTTGGCTGTAAGCACATTTAGTAGTTGTTCTAGTTCTAGTAATTCATTAGAAAACAGATATGTTACCATGGGAAAATATGCATTTAGAAAGATAAAATCATAAGTAATTGCTAAAATTTCATTGGTTTTAAGTTAATTCAACTCCTCATTTTAGTACTTTTTTATCTCCTCAGTTTGGCGCCATAAATGATTTTTGCTTGACACCTCTAGAAGTTCAAGACACCTATATACTCAGCCCAACTATTAAGTTATTTTAACCCAAACTTAACGTAACTTCTTAAAAGTGCTTTGAAAAGCTTGTTGCCACAAAAAAGCAGTTACCACAAAAAAGTAAAAGTATGTGTTTTACAAAAACCCTCTAAATCTGTAATAGGCACCCCAAGTTGATGGTTAAACTTCTAAAAGTGTTAAACATGCAGAATCTTTTACAGAGCTTAATACACTTGATAGTGGCTGCTGAGAGCTCAACACCCATGTTTTCTATTTTATTTTTTATTATTATTTATTATTATTATTATTGACTACTTGGAACTCTCCAATGCTTCTATGTGTTTATGGTTAAGTAGCATTTCTGATACCTCTAGTAATAGAGCTCCTGAAGAAAATAAACTTTGCATATTCCAGACTCACTGGGTAGTAAAGTCAGAAAGTGAGGAGGGAAGCACAAACCATAAAGATGTTTTCAGGTACAGCAGGCAGATAACAGAGAGCATTTGGTCACAACATAGTGGTCTGTATCTATTTCGTCTTTTCTGGGGGTACATCTACAATGAGGTGTGCATGACTAAGGTGTCTATCCTGGCTGCTGTACATGAATTATCCTATCTGCCCCTAAGTGAGTCTTGCAATGTGCAAAGATCTGCATAAAGAAGTGATGTAAATGAGGCCCCAGTGAACTCTGCTCTCACAGCTAGATTGCCACTCTCAGCGCTCTCTTGGGTAGTTCAGACTGTGATGAGCAATTAAGTAATAAGTTTATGTGACGGTACACATTTAATAATTTCAGTAACAATTAGGTTTAGACTTCTTAGAGATTTATAAAAATAAGTTCATTTTCCAACCTTGTTTTTAAATTTAGAACAGACTACTTAACATCTCTAAAATGAAAGAGCATTTAAATCTAAAATGAAGTGTAAAAAGTCCTTCAGGAATTTAAAGATAGTTCACATCAAATGTGTGTTGCAACAGGCAAGGAATAAATAGCTTACCTGTCACTTGGAGTTCAGTGGTACTGTTTAGAGAAGTGAAAATATATTTTATAAAGAACTCTGGGGATGGCAAACTTGCTTTCCCCATACAGACTCCTTGGAGAGCCAGAGTAATGATTAAAGCAGCAAGGCGTGGAAGAGTGTTTTCATCAGCACCATCTCTGTCCATTATATCAGCATTTTTCTCCAGAGTACTCACATCAACACACTGAAATCAGGAGAAAACAGCATGAAGAGAGCCCTGGTGACCTCCATTCAAATAATCAGAGCGACAGGAGGAGAAATTGGAGAGAATGCTTTCACAGACAGCCAGAGTAGAAAAAATACCAAGATTAAAGCTGTAATTGGCATCAAATGAGAAACAGGACATTTTCAGGAGAACAGACAAAAATAAAAAATCCTGGAATTTTACTCAGTATATGGGGAAGAAGTACAGTCCTTCATTTGGGTTATTTTTGCTTAGCGTTATTTTCATGCTGTTTCTTTTATTCCTGTGCTCCTCTTCAGTTGCATGTAGATCTACTTCCAGAAAGTGGCAGAAAAGGGAGGAATTTTTTGTTACGCCACAAGAAATTGGCTCAAATACAGACTTTAACTCTTTATATCAAGAATTCTCTCAATGTTTTCAGTTCCCTATCTATTAAACTGAATCAATAATTTGCTATGTGGCAGCTATCTGCAAAGATATAATTCTGCAGATAAAGGATGACTTTCCTGCTGGGTGACCAAACAGGAGCAGCAGATACCTGTGTACACACATGTGTGTGGACATGTGCAGGTCTGAAGTGAGGAAACTCATCCCTGCTTTCTTCCATTTCTGCCCACCTTGTTTATTTTCATCAAAGTTGGGGTTTGAGAAAGAAAAAAACAACCAACCAAACAAAAAAATACCGACCCCAAAACATTAACTTGGCAAAAATTACTTAAGTTTATCTGTTTCAAACCCATATTATCTAAATTGAAAAGTCAACTAGATAAGCCAGTACATTTTACACATACTCATCTCTCTATATATATACCTTAAACACTGCAGAGAGGAGGCTGGCATTTCTTTTCCTGTCCATCCATCACACATTTAAATTTCCACAACCTACATTTCGTCTCTCATTTCAAATAGTATATTAGGTGCTACGACTGAGAAGAAGATACTTTCTGTGAAACCAAAACATATAAACAGCCACTAAAAATGCTTTTACTACCCTGTATTATTGTCCCCTTACCATTACTCAAGTGTTGTGATTCAAAGAATTAGACTATAATGTTTTGAGTACCTTTCATAAAAACCCCTCTTTTCGTTCATATCTGAGCTGTAGAGTCTCAGTTACTGAACAGACTTGACAACTGATTATACTGCCAGCATAAACAAACAGACCACACAGTAAAGCACTTCATGGATTTTTATTCTATCTTGACATGCTAAATACCCACTGATGCCTCTTTACAGTTGCCCAGATACCACTGGAGTTCTTGGAAATCAACACGTTCACCAAGACTCAGAAACAAAAGTACTGGTCAATGAATAAATTTATGATGGGAAATGATTACACAAAGAACACAGAAAGAGGAACTGGAGGCCCTCAACATTCTGCTGCATAGCCAGGACTCCTAGCCATCTTCTTCTGCGTAGGAAACTCTAGTAGAGTACGGCATAAATTAAAATCTAATTAAATAAAAAAGAAAAGGGCAAATTCAAACCTTGCAATAAACCACATTTAACTGTACGTTACAAACAGATCTCAGGGTCTTCTCACAGGAGGTCAACTTGTACTTTAGGAGTTATCTAATTTGGCAAAAAATTATTTTATTGCCTGTTACAAGGAAAACAGTTTTTCTTTAGATTGTGAACTTTACAATATTATCCTATTATTTTATAGACCCTACTTGAGATAAGGAATAATACACAGTGGTGAGAAAACTCGCTGCATGTTTCCTGACTTAAAAAGGATGGGGTTCTGCCGGCTATACTCCAAATGCTTTTTTTTTTTTTTTTTTTTTAAAGTTTAAATTTAAGCTCATCTGGATCAGTCCTTCTACAAGGCATATTTATGATCATAGATAATTAGCACAAACGTATGTGTCCCAACTGTAGGAAGCCATCATATCTTTGGACAGATTCCTTATTCCACCCTGCTTTGGATGGACATGGAAGTGCAGGGGCTGGCAAGGATTTTATCACCACAAAATGATTCATCAAGCCAGATGAGTTTTGGAGCTGTTTTATATACCATTTGAACACAAGCTAGGATTTCTATACTAATAAATACAAGAGATGAGAAAGTATTTTCTGCTCTTAAAGCCAAGTGCAGGTCTTGCATCTACACAGCTATGCTCATTTCCATCTGCCTAAGCAGGGTAACTGTATCTAAATTGCCTTTTAGGAATGGTTCCTAATATGCACTATCTCCTCAATCATGTCTCGGCAGACTCTGGGAGTGCTAGGTAACACATGCCAGAAGGAAGTCAAGGAGAAGGATAGTATTAAACAGCATATACAACAAAAGACCAATGTTCAGCCTGTCCTCTCCTACTGTTATGCACCAGTTTTCTGTAGGACCCTAATAATGACACAATGTCTGACCTAACTTAAAGGCATTATGCCAGTAATAAATATGAAGTTATTTTTACTTATGTTTTCTTTACCTGGGTTTCAGAAGTTTTAAAATGTTGCCTTACTGCAGCCAAAATATCTTCAGTTTCATTCCGTGAAAAATAACAACAGCTTTCATCATGTCTTAAATTAAGCATACTTTGTAGGTAAAACTTATAATCCTTATTATTCAAGCTGAGTTCTGAAGAGCATGCATCTCTATGATGAAGAATGTAGTAGAGAAGAATAAGAGAAATTCTCTCAAATACTTCTTCACTGAGATGGTCGTCTAAATTTCCACCAGCTATTAGTAACAAAGCATCTGGTTCAAGGCACTGTGAAAAAATAAAAATAAACAGAAATTCAACTCAACACATTGTAATGCATTGCCAGGAGTCTGCCAATACAGTGAGAGAGGGGAACAGGAGAATTCAACTCTTATATTTAAGGAACTGAGCCTAAGGCTACACAGCAGCAGGCTGATGAAATGCCAGGAGGAGGGTGCAGGTAACTCATTGCAGTTCTATAGGTGCAAGATCACGCTGTGTTTTTTTCCAGATCCCCTTGTGTTTTTAAGAAATATCAATTATTGAAGAGATTTACTACAAATCATGATTAACTGATCAATCACTGTAGCAAACTGAAAGCCTTCCACTGGCTTCAATGGCTTGTATTTCTAATTACAAATGTATCGGATAAGCACTGGGGCTATTCAAATTTTCAACTGTGCATTCTATATGCATTTATAAGACAAGCACCTTATCTGGGCTATAGATAATTTAGGGTATGTAAACAGAAGTAATATCATATTCAGTGCACTGTTAAGAGACTTACCCTGCAATCATACAGCTATTTTTATTTTTTCTCAATGAATTGTTAACCGGAACAATTTGATACTGTGCAGAGAGCCTGCACAAAATCTCAACACCATTTAGTCCTCCAGATGTATTTCAAGAGGGGCTGAAATAATATTCTTACATTGTGCAGGCTTTCTGTCTGAGCACAGATTTTTTTAATACATATATTATTAAATATGTATATAAACCTCTCAATTTTTCTTGATATAGGCACTTTCCAGAAACTTGTGCCAGCTCAAGCAAAAGTTAGTCTTTAGAATTAGACTAGAAGACTAATAAAGCTCTATGTTGGGTTATGGGAAGTAAGACACTGAATCCCAGAATAAAGAATCTTTCTTGAAGAGATCCTGTAACTATTTTCACTCATTTTGTAGCTGTTTTATTCCAACTGGCTCCTTTCCCACCATGTTATAGGCATGCAAGCTAATCTCAACTATAACTGTAGAACAGCCAGACTATACATTTCAGAGAACAAAGTACAACTTGACTGTACCATGGGATGATCAAAGCTGCACTTTAATAAATTCATGAATCCAGACAGAATCAAGTTTGTCAGACTAAATTGTTTGTGCCTGCAATCATGATCTGTTGGTTGGTGTGTCTCACTTAGTAGATTAGTTCATTTTCCTATACAGAAGCTGAGTAGAATCAAACACATTGTCTTGTTCAGAAACCAATGTTCCTTGGAGAAATTGAGGGAGCTGCTACTTTTCAATAGAAATAATTCTAACAAAAAATACTCATTTAAATACCCATTGGAGAGATCATTAACAGAAAAAAAAATGTATATCTGTAAAAAGTCATGAACTATGACCAGAATCTTGGATTTACAAGGGAAAGTTGAATCTGAAATCAATGAGTTAATCCCAACAAGTATGGGAAAGACAATGCCAAGCTAGAGTGGGACATTCTGTTTCAAATGTTTATGATCTTGAAGGATAGTGCTTCTTGCACAGTTTTTGTTATCTTGGTTTACCAAATCTTGTTAAATCATCTCGGAAGATTTCAACATGGTGGTATGCGGGCTGCATGTGACTGAAGATACTGTCTCTCTCTCATGGATTTTCCATAGACAATTGTGCTCTTGTGGCACTGACAGTGCTGAATGTGTTCAGTGCTACTGACACAGCCAGCACTGAAAAGTACTGGAAATGGTGAAAGTCTTCAAATTCTTCCCCAAGAAAAATTCCAGGATGAAGCCTACACAGAGTGGAAGCCCTTACCAAAGTAAAATAGTTTCATTTCCATTCAAGGACACAGAATGCATGCTCTCCACAAATATATCACAAATACAAGAAAAAAATACAACAATCAAGAGAAGTGAAAGTAAGAGGGAGAGCGAGAAGGTCTAGACCTCTGTTTTGTGAAGTTTAGGAAGACTCTATACCCATTACTTTTTAATACATTCTCAGCTTTTGATCCAGGTGCGTATCTGGTAAATATCCATTGCCTGAATGTGCAAAGAGGAAAAAGGGCATGATCTCCTTCACAAAAATTGCCTATTTAGGGAATAACAAGACACCTGCCTTATTTATGTATGAAAATCACATTGGGAATCATCTGATAAATGGAAGCATTTGCAGAAAGGGCCAGTTAAGTAAGCAGTTTTCTACTGCAAGAGAGGAAAAGTTCTCCATTACATTGGTTTGGAAGATTGCCAAGAATAGTACAGTGTGAAATCATTCACTTTTTTGACCATCCTCATAAATCTGATAGAAAGTGACACTCTGCTAATAATAGGTCACTGAACAATGCCAGAGCTAGAGTAATGTTAATCAAAACCAAGACCAACCAAACCCTTTGTAGTCCCTTTTAGCTAAGCTGCTCACTTACCACTGCCTTTATCCTACCAGGACCTAGGATCTTTTTAGACTTGTTCCTTTCTTTGTCAAATTGGGAATCAGTTCTGAAAAAACCCTAAACTCAACTAGACAAACATACCTCTTGTGAAACTGTACCCTGGACTTTTTCCAGTTTCAATTTAGGTTTGTAGATTTCATTGTTCTGCCTTTGATTTTCCTTGACCTGACCTGCTTACCAAAACCCTCCCCTAAATCTCGACTATTTCAGTGAGGTAGCCCATAAATCTGAGACAATCCAGTCTGGGTTTTATTTTTATGAACTCAAATACAGGAGAGAAAAAAAAAAAAAAAAAAGAAAAAAAAGAAAAAAGAGTGGCAGAACTGGTCACCAGTTTTTACCTATGTGTTTCCACAGTGGAAATCCTCTTTGTCCCAGATTCAAGCTTTCATAGTTAAATCAAGGTAAGGGAGAAAAATCTTTGTTGGAAAATAAACATCTTATAAAATTATAAGCGTTATGTGACTGAAACATGGCACTTTAAAGGAATGCCTGTCATGTTTGGAATACTTCTTCATAAGATCAAGCAATAAATAATAATGCAGAATGAAATGATTAAAGCTGGGACAACTCCTTGCTGCAACAACAAGCCCTTTACATGTTTAGGTTTTGTATTCAGGATAGTATCACTATAATAAATATTTTACAAATTCACTGAGGATCCTGTAAAGATATCCCTCATTAATTGAAGCACTAACCAGATTACAATCCTCTTGCATGCCATAAATCCGCTGTGGGCACTCAGTTCTCTCCAGTAACATTTTGACCAGTTCTTGTGAGTGGTTCATGTGGAGCTCAGTGTTGTCAGCTGAAAGAACGCGTAAAACTTCCATCAGATAGCCTCGGCTGGGAGCATAGCTGCCATTCTGCCCATGCTCTTCCCCAAGCTGTCCTTCAGCAATGAGCACGCTGAATATGAAAGCGGAACATACCATCCCAAGAGCTGGATGCTTGGCCAGAAAACACATCGCCTCTTCCTGCAGTGCGTGATCTGCACTGACTGTTGAATTGTTGTTTGCACTTCACAGCTTAAACTTGAAACCTGAGGAATCTGAATGGTAAAGGGGAAAAAAAACCCAACCCTTTAATTAGTGTGAATGCAATATGTTTGCAAGGATTTATTAATTGGTCGGCTAAGCTGATTTGCAGTGACAAGCTGTTTTTGAACAACAGGGAGCCTGTAAGGGCTTTACAGCCCAGAACAGCAGGAAACTAAGACAACCATGGCCTTAAAACTTCTGTAGAATTACCAACAAGAGGTTGACTCAAAGTGCCCTTCCCTCCTCTTAAAAGTAAAGTGTATGGTTTTCATTTCAGTGCTATGTTATTGCATTCACTGACAACCCTTTTCAGTAAGAACAGGAAAATACCATAGCTTTCACTTTCTTTCCGTTATGAAACAGGGTTTTCGTAGCAAAAACTGCTGTAAATAAAGATTACTAGTCTAATTCTGATATGAATGTGCAGTAATTACGTTACACAAAAATGATACAGAGTGGGTTTTATTTTCAATACACTTTACCAATGTTGCCAAACTCTAACTATGCAACACAAAACAGGAATGAACAGGGTGTATGTAAAAATTAGTGATATTTTATGATCAGAAGAAAGAGTTGCAAAACTGAGGTCATCGTTTCATTCACAGGACTTGGTGAATAAACAAGACAAACACACCGGAATCAGCAAGCTTAACTTGTTAATTCTAGATGTAAAAGACATTTTGTACTGTAAATCTATCTTGTCACTATCTTTCCTAATAAACCATTGCCTCTGCTTTAACAGTAATCTATCTCAATATCAAAGACCAAGAAACATAAAAGAGTTTCACTTCTGTTTTCCACAAAGAAGTTTTGATTTTATTCATGGGCAGATGCTGGCAGAGACATATATTTTCAGATGATAATGCACATGTGTTAAACAGTTAGATGTAAGTTCAAATTCTTTTAACTGCAACATGGTATGTGTGTCTTATTTTAAAGACAACTCTGCTAGCAAAGTATTGAAAAAAGAACTGCTGAATTCAAATTGGCATTCACTCAGATAAAGGTTAGTATGTTTTTAGAAGTTAGGAAATCTTTTGGTATTTAGATACATTTTAGTGTTAGAGGTTAGGAATATGCATTTTTGACACAAAGAAGCACCTTTTTCTAAATATTATTTTCTTACCTTCTGAAGGGAAACAGAATGCTTGTGTATCTAGCTTTGTGGCCTTCTGAATCCTCAGAAGTATTTTAGCTGCTGGAAGTCCAATGTTTTTAAAATTCCTTGATGGTGCTCTGTAAGCTGGAGAGGATTAGTTTATTGCTGCCTTGAAAAGTTTTCAGTTGCTATGGAGAGAGCTGCTCGTAAGGTAACAATGGAGGTGGATAGGAATTAGAACATGTTCTTCTTGGCAAGTTCTAAGCATCACATTATTGAATGTATTTCACATATTTTAGTAGTTATCATTTTATGTAAAGTCTATTTTAGCAGTGCAAGATGTACAAAATCAATTGAAGAATGTATTTCATTATGATGGATAATACATTCATGCACTCTATTTTCTACATTACTACATTATCTGATTAATTCTACAACAAACCTGACTTTTTTTTTTTTTCCATCAAAACAGTACTTCTTTTTGCAAATAGGAGAAATAGAAATCTTTTCAAGCACCTCCAAAAAAAAAGGTGAAATACTGTCCATAGAGAACAGGCTCTTTCATCCCCATTTATTCTGTGCCACTTTTGCAACCATTAAAAAAGCTGGGATAGCTCAGACTGCAGTGAAAAAAATTTCTTCCACCCACTCAGATCTTCCAGAGGGATGCAGTTACAAAGTCGACATTTACAGCACTGTGCCATTACAACAGTATTGCACAGGCAGTTAGTTAAAACTGTCATGTCTGACAGCTTTCCGCAGCAACAGGTACACCAGTCATAGCCCTCTCCTACCTTCCAAACCTTCAGTGCTGTAAATGAAGAATTAGTATCTCAGTTGGCTCAACAAATCTTGTGGAGCAGTAAGCCTGTAGTAATAGAAACGTCATAATACTCTTTAAAGCTAGATTGACAAAAAATCCTGGGTTCTAAAATGCCAGTAATACTTCTTACAAGGTGGTGAGCTTAAAGGGAACAGCCTTGTTTTAGTAAGGCTGAGAACTGGCAACTGATACTCACTATAAAAAAGAAAAAAAAAAAAAGAAGATTAAACTGACAACACCAGCTTGAGGGAAACGAAAAATGTAAACAAATATTCTCAAAAGATCATGGTAGTATGTACAAACTCTTGTGTGTTCAAGACTGAGCATTTTAAAAAATCAGTCTTACTATTAGATACTCAAGTACAAATAAACCTTTTTATTTGTATCAAAGCATTTTTCATTTTATTTAAAAAGTTACAAAAGATTTTTCTCAAATATTGCCAAATATGTGATTTTATGCAAATAAGAATTACAGAAATCTTCATCGCCAATATTTATTTTTATGTGAATAACTGAAAAGCAGAAACACATGATAATATGCATCTCCTCTAGCTTTTATATAATTTGCTCTGTGAAACAAAGCTAACTATGTCCAGACTTGTTCCACTAATAAAAATAATCCCTCAGATAATGAGGGAATAGCTTCCAGCATTTAATTCCAGGGATTGCTCAATCTCCAAACAAACGTAGAATAGGTTTATCTATCCATAATTTGGTGTTTTGTATATAATTACAGATTGAAATGAAGAATTCATTCTATCCAACTAAAGTGTACAAAGAGATGATGAATTGTTTCAATTTATTAAGAGAAGCTAACATTTAAAAACACATTTGATAATTTGTAACTACTGAAAGCTGCTAAGAGAAGATTTACATAATAATACTGGCTATATCTTACGTTAACATTTATATTACAGAGTGATGGTAAAAAAAAGTAAGTGTTCAGTGTATTAAAATTATAATTACTGGTACAGGGTACTATGGCTGATTTCAAAGGAGTATTCACTTCCCTTTTTAAGTGTTGCAAACCTCCTCTAGCTTGTAAATGAGTTTCTCAGTGGTGGCAAAATCACTGACGGTGACTCAAGCCTCAATTTCTGCTTTTACCCCTGACATGAGAGCACTACCTGTGCTTTTCTGCCACTGTCAAAGAATTTTCTGTCTGCGCAGCACTCGGATTGCTACTTTTGAAGTAATTACTACCATCAATTGTCCTTTTCTTAAACCCTTCTGTATTCGCATTTTTCCCCTACTACCTATCCATCCTGATGTGCCAACTGATAAAATGGAGCAGTGGTAATACAGAACTGTGTAGTTGGACAACTATTAGAAGCTCGCTAAGACACACAGACAGAAAGAAATTGCCAGTACATTTTAATGTCTTAAAACCTCCCGAAGCACCTATCACTATTATTGTTCTCTCATGTGGTTTGTAACATTCGCTCGTAAGTCCCTGCTATTTTGGCTCAAATTCAATTGCATGTCTTTCAGCGATTTTTAAGAAAGGGGGGAAAAAGTCCACGCATAATGCTTGTAAGCCAGTGACTCTCTGCTTACAATAGAATAACAACATGCACTGAAGAAAGAGCCCTCAGAGGAACTGGAGAACTGGGGTAACTCGAAGTAGCTTACCATTCTAACATGACGACAGACTGCGTATCACAAAACCAGAGGCATGATGAACTTCCTGATTAAATAAGCAAATGAAACTTATTTTTTTTTAATTGATTCTTCACTTAGTTAAGGACCTTGGCATGATTGAACGTGGATCTGAGCTCAAGAATCTACAGAGGTGATCAGTCATTTTTAATGATTTTATCAGTTACCATGGAGGTATGCTTGCAAGAGAGTAACTGATTACTGACAGGCGTAGGTACATGTCTGAGGAAAGTAAGTAACACAAGAAACAAGATAAGAAGAGTGATAAAAATGGGAACTTCTCAAAAATCTTTATTTTCATTTCATGATTGGATTATGATCTCATACAACCACATATCAAATTTGTTCCACACACAAATGAAATCTTTTATGTCTTAGAAAGCTCATATAGTATTATCCTGATTTGCATTCTAGCGGACAGGGCTGAAGGCAATTTCCAAATGGCATAACCAGACACAGCAAATGACAAGCACAAGCAGCAAGCTCTCTTTGGTTGCAGGATTTTTATTTATTTGCTTTTAAGTGAACCAGTAAGACTTACTGCAGCTTGTTTCTCCCACCTACACAGCTGCTGCAAGAACAAAAGCAAGTTGCCCATTCACAAATGCCATGAATAACCACACTTTGCAATTAACTGTTTTTCAACAGATCAGTGAATGGACTACATAGGAATAAGAAAACTCTTTAGAGAACTCACTTTGAGATGGCAAGGACATTCCTATGAGTCCCACCAACGTGACAAATGCCTTAATTGTATTTGTACAGCAGAATGGGAGAGGATGCAGGCATCATTTTAGCAAGACCCCTGAAAAAACTATTGAGAAATGCAGCTACGTAACTCTTATACCTTACATACTGTATAACTTGTTTTGATGGACTGTGCAAACGTGTTCTTTGCCCTTTTACTAATCACAGCAATTATGGCAAATAGAAAAGAATCCTGTGGTACTGCAGATTTCCTCCATGTTATTAATGTGATGCGTGCGCATTGCTATAATTACAGCCATAGACAGCATATTGACATATGAAAAGGCTACATTTTACATGTAATTTGTGTAGATTTTCAATATATAAAGCATCTTTGACAATGAATTAATGCCAGAGTGCTATAATAAAAAATGTCAGTGCTTTAAAATTACCACAGTCTATTCAGCTTCCTTGGCCTCACATGTCAACCCTAACAGTATCAGATACACTGATTGTCAATGAATTAAAATAAATGAATGCTATTCAAATTATCTGAGTTACATATATTAGCAGAGTTACATATATTAATATATGTTTCTGGAACAAGCCTTGTATTAGTGTAGGATTGCAAAATTCACTTGTTAGCAGAAAGTTTCCTAAGACCTGGAAATCTAGTTATATTAAAAATAGCTTATATGGGTTAACAAAAAGAAAGTGTTCATTTATATGGAAAGTGTGATCTAAACCCTCATTAATTGCCCCATCTTACTACAGACTTCTTCCTCACACAACCTTGCCATTGCTGACTATCTGGTTGTGTTTCAAAAAAAAAACCAAAACCAAAAAAACACAAAACCAAAAACCCATCAATACTATTCAAAGGTAACATTAATTATAATAAGAACATAGTCACAGTAGGCGATGTAAGTATCTTGGGCAAGAAAAAGGGAGTTTCAGAAGGAAGTATATGATGTTGCCCATTTTTAAGTTAAAAAACACATGGGGAAAAAATGCTCTTGTGTTCATCTCTAGGAACTTCAGCTTCCTAGCTTTGATGAATTTATCTAAACATTAAACAACACTGGCTGTTGTTTGGTTATGTCCTGGAGCATAGTCAGACTATTATGTCTATTGTTTGGTTCTGCTGCTTTAAGTTTCCAAAGACACAGGGCAAAAAAACTACAAGCTGATTTTACTAACAATGTTTCGTCCAGTACAAAGCATCTACAGTCCAACTAAATAAGTAAAACTATAAATTTAAATATACCAAATGAAATATCATATAATATTACAGCATAGAACATCAAGTAATATTCTAAAGGAAAAAAATTAAGGTTTTAAAATTGAGAAATAACTTTTCAACAGTTATGCTATTCACCTTATAGGAAACTCGTGTATCTTACATTGCTGCTTCAGTCACTAACTTCTAACCCCAACACATTGAAATGTTCATTTCCTGCTGGATAGTCATCGTCTTATGCTCCAAAACCATTCAAATGTCACTTTGTAATTTTTCCTACTTCATACAATATTTTATAAATAATTTTTACTATTACAGAAATTAATAAATGTTTACTCACAGTACTTTTTGGTTTTCAAACTGTGACTCAGTGTTCAGTTGTTCTAAAGAAATTCTCCTCACAACAATGAGGAGTCATTGCAAGCAAACACCATGGTAAATGTTGCACAAGAGAAGACTGATGTTCCTCAAGGCCTTCTAGCTACCTAAAAACGAAGGAAAAATGTAAGTTTCTGGGTCATGAATACAAGCCAGGGTGAGGGGAAGGAAAAGAGCTGCTTTTCCTCCTTTGATTAAATTCAGGAAGTTTGTAGGTGGCACCAACACTAAGAATAGCTTACAGAATAGTCGAGTGACTAGATAAGCTGCAAGTAACAGTTGCTGAAGCAATAAAGATGAAAAGAAAAAAGGAAAATCCTAGAATAGAAGG